ACAAAAACTTTATTAATAAACTAGGCAAACTTTTTGTTAAATAATATATAAATGGCAGTAAACCGTTTAGTTATGACGTTTAAATTTGTATGATTATATTATTATGTCGTTTAAAATGTTAACAGAGCGTAAGTCGGTGAAAGGGTTCAAAAGTGACCCCACGTGGCCCCCGAGAACAAAGACAAAGCTATACGTTTTAGTTTATACCTACATAAATGAATACGTTTGCAACACCCATCATATGACATAAAAAATGAATAAATAGTTTTTCCACAACAGAAAATTATAATAATCATAACGCATATTATTATTATACGATACTATAGTTGGCGACGGCGGTGTTCGTCGGACCGGTCGGTAAATCATAATAATAATTTTTATGTTTCTGCATGATGTGTAATTCAATGTTAATATCGGAATATTCCTCGGTCGATGAAACTGCGGCATACAATTAAATTAGCAATACCTACGTTAGGTTTACCAGCAGTGGCACTGGCGACGGTTTCAAGGTAATTACACAAATGTACAATTACATATACATACTCGAAATACTTAATTAATACCATATACGTACTTATATATATATTACGCAGACAAACGTTCTTCCGGAGTTATATTCGGTCGCTGTAAAATATGATTTCGCAGTTCGAAAACGTTTTGAAAAATAAAAAAAAAAATAGAAAACAAAACATAAATATATAATTGGCATTCGGTCAGCAATTTTTTTCTTACAATAGCGGGGTACCGCATGCTGCAATAATACCTATATAGAGAACCACAGGTGTTTCAGTACTCGATGTCGACACGACTGTATTATATATGTATACAGTATACATAATAATTTTATAATTTATACGAACGTACATTTTGCCCTTACTGTTCCATCACCGTATCTAACAACAACAACAACTACTACGACGACGGCTTCCACAATGTATCGTGTATACATATTGTAATACTATAATATTTAACTTCTATAAAGAAGGATATAGCTAATTGTCTGGGTTCTCATTGTGGAAGACACGTGTAAACAAATCGACGTGACCTTTTTTAGTGTATAAAGTTTACAAAGTATTTTGATAAACTGTGACACTGATATAATATACTGCACCGAACTCTTTTTACCGAATGGAGTTTATAAAATTCCCACTTATTGTTCTAGAAACAATTTTTGATTTTTTTTTTAAATTTCTATTTCTAAGGCTTAAACAATGTAAATATAAACCGGTGATGACGAGCTCGACTGTTACTAAATCGTAAGTAATTATGCATTTATACAACGATAATGCGATGTAAACAACATCAATATAATATGTTTAATGTTATTCGTCGTATTTTTTAACCCAGACGTGTAATGGCTATATTGTAGGTAAGAACGTATAATCAATAGAACGCGAGTCCTACAAATCAAAATCCCGATATTTAGTAGCAGCGTAATATTATAGTCCATTAATATTTATGATATAAAATCGTTCCAATATATTATAATAGTATTATCGTACTCTTTATTTTTAATACACTTCGACTGTCGTAATTTTGTATACGTCTCGCATTGAGCCGAGAGCGTATACAATGTATCAATACTTATATTACTCTTAACGATGACCGAATATTATAATATTGTAATATTATTATATTTTTCAATTTCCTCTAACTCTTCACAGGTACAGAACTCGGAGAATATGCATCGTCCGGGTGGACAATATAGCTACAATTGGCGAGGTTAGAACGATATTTTTTAAAGTCTGCCGCGTTACCTATAATTTAGTAATGCGCACGTTATTCCCGGACATTCGAGTCTAGATGTACGTGCAGAATTCATAGCCGCGTATAACTTGATTTAAAAAAAAAGTCACAGACGTATTATGCCATATGGTTCTTAGGCGGCGGCGGGGTTCTTCGGATAGAAAAAAAAAATACAGGTACAAATAATTCGTATTGGTTTCCCATTACGACGGAAATAATAATATTATAAACGTACCTATACAATAAACACAACTACACTAACAGAAACGTCCGAAGCGACGATTATTGGCTTTCACGCGCCCGTCGCCGCCGCCGCGATAAACATCTACTGGAAACCTGTTGGTTCACCATCGCGTATGTCTCACCATCGGGGTAATCACGAAGGTTGTATTAATGTTATCGTTATAATGATATTATTATATTGTTGGGACGACGAGTGGGACGACACGACGACTCCGCGAAAGAGTACGTGAAAAAAAAAAGTAAATAAATGAATACGCTTCGTATATAGTTAAGTCCGCCCAGTTAGGTACGTGTATTATATTATATGCAGTACCTACAGCCGCCGCGGTCACCGTGTCACGTGCTTTTGTCGGACAACCGGAGAGATATATTATCGTGTAATATATTATAACGAAAAAAAAAAAGAATCACACACAATCCGTAGGTTAAATAATATAATAAATATAATAATACAATAATATAATCGGTTTTCGAAAAAAAAATAATATAACCACACAATGGCGAGCGCTCAATACCCCCCAATCTCTTCTTATAATATTATACCGCGAGATCTGCAACGGCAGCCCACTATAGTATAATATAAATTCGTCTTGATTTCTATTGTGTGTATACTTTTTTCGAAAAGCATCTTCAGCTGCTGCAGCAGCAGACTACTATTTTATTATTATTATCATTATAATGCGTATTATCTCCGGTGACGAAAAAGAATATGTATTAAATTTCGCCGTACAATAGACTTTTATGTTAATTCCAAACACCACTGCTAGATGTTTTGATGCGTACAACTCCCTAAAATATTAATCACAATTTTGATAACTTGCACACGTTGTCGAAAATATTAAAATATATTACACCCATAATGCCGTAATGGTGCCTACCTATATCCGCCCGTCTGGTACCTACGTCCGATTTCTGTATTCTATCAAAATAATATAATATCCGACACAAAACATAATAAATTGCCTGCGTAGGTAGCCAAACGGCGCGTTTTCGATATAATAGCTGATATATACATAATATTTTTAAAACAAAAGTAGAAATAATTTCGAAATTTATGTATGAAATGTACCTACCTATATAATTCATAATATGATAATAATTCTCTGCAGCAGATAGTTACGTAATGTATAGTTCTGTTACTATAATATAGCCGGTGAATTAATAGTTAGGTGTCATAAACAACCTACAGCAGTGATTCCTATATTATAATATTGTTTGCCGAATGGCCACTTTTGATGTTTATTAAACTATGTAGGTACTAATCAAAACGTTTTTCGTGTTCACAACTGAATATAGGTACTCAACATATTGCGCACCATGCACCATTATTTACTTATACAATTTTACGACCACGTACACATATAATAATATATTACATTATACAGTTGTATTGCACAGCAATGACAGTCGAGTGTTGACCATAAAACTACGAACCTTTGTCAAACGATCGCAATGTATTATGATAATTTAATATACTGCACTTGTACGCGTACGTAGGTACGTTTCAAGTTTGAACACAAATCGCAATACATAATATTATATATTATTATACAATTTGATGTTCACTCGGGTTAAAATTTTAATTTTTTTAAAATTACACGAGTTTGGCGTTTCGAGAGTTGTGAAGATATTATTATAACGAAACGACTTACAAATATTTGGCATCACCCATATAATTATATGCATGGGTATCTATAGGTACTCGTTTAAGCGCATAACAGTTGTAGCGTGCTCAGCTTTTTCGTTTGGGGGGAGATGAACTTAATTTTATTGATCGTTCCACAGATACAAATAGTATAATCATTGGTAGTCATATTTAATTGTTTAAAGAATACATAAGTCTCCTTGTATGGGTTCTATGTGGGGGGAGGGGAGATATGACACCCTCATACCCATCCGTGAGCTCCCCCCTGGTGCATAATGTTATATTATGTAGAGTAATATTGTCACAAATAACGAAATTACTAATATTAGCTGGTGTACAAATCAATGAACATATACCTACCGCAGAAAGACAAATTTATATCGTTGTCTGACCGCGACCATATAGTTGCGTTCTGTTTTTGATAGGATTATAAAAATCATATTATCTATATAAATCGGTTCTTCGATTAACCTGATTTAATTAATTGTAATGAATCAAAAATAAGCATGCGTGTCGCTATCGATGAAACTTTACCCCGCTTTACCCTATAATAATATATTAACTGAGCTGGTGTAGTTAGCTATTTTAATAATATTAAGGTACATAGGTACAGATATTTATTAGGTTTTAATAGTATTTATTAGATATTGTAATGTCATTTGATTTCATAGTGAGTATGAATGTTGCTGAGTATAATTTTGGGTATTATAATGGGTACATGGGTACAGATATTTGTCATGGTTTTTTGGTAATGACATATTTAATAGTATTACGATGATATTAAATCATCATCATATTAAATCATGAAGCTGTGCTGGCGTAATGATGTAGATATCATTACATAATGTCATCGTAAGTCAATTATCAACTCAAACTTGTAGATTTTTATTTTATCGATAATCACAGTACAATTTCCACACCGCGCTGTGGCGTTTCAACAATTTTATTGTCCTAATTTATACCTAATTAGGTACTTTAAGGTATTATAAAAATAATAATAGTTTAATAAGTATAATGTAATAATAGTAGGTATATTGCAAGCTCTTACATAAAAGATACAAAATTTAATTCGTATATGATATTTTAAAAAGGTAGGAATTATTCAACAGTTTTATTTGAAAATTTGTATATATCCTCTATAGGTATATTGTATATAATATGTAATAGTATTATATTATGCTAGCCAAATCGTTACATGTGATTTTTGATTATTGCTTTCGACAATATTGCATTCACCAAAACATTTTTTACTAATTTTAACAATGTATCGTTTCAAAATGCTGTCTTATCTTATAATAGTATAATTATTGTATTGCTTTTATTTTCAGGCGTTTCAAACGACAAGGGCACAATTTGACTACACATGATGAGCGTGCAAAACCTCCGGAACAAGTTCAGCCAGAACAACGGTTCGGTCCCGTACAACCCACCCGGGCTGAGTTACGGGAAATCCGATTCCACTGTACCGTCGAGTCTGAACAACCACAACAATAACAACCATCACCATCACCACCAGGTGTCGAACTATCAGATGCCAAACGGTGGAGGTGGACGGTTCAAGACGATTCGCGAGGAGCCGGATGCCCCGGAAGACTTCAGCAGCAGCAAACCTGTGGCGACCAAGAACAACAGTTTTCTGCAGAGTTATCTAGCAAACGAGATGAGGAACGTCGGTGGTTCTCCCGGCAACGGAATTAAGCAGACGGTCGCAGTGCAGGCGCCGGTTCACAACCGGTTCGTCGCCTCTAAGTCGTCGCCGCCGGTGGAAGTTGTGTCAAAATACGCTGTCAAGTCCCCTCAGGAAACGGCCACGTCGAAATTGACGTTCGGTGAAGTCAAATTGCCACACCAGTCGCCGGCAGTCCCCGTACATGCGCCTAAGCCAATCGGTGCCAAACCAATGCTTCCGCCGCCGATACCGGACAGCACTCCGCCCAGGTTTACGGTCAAATCTTCGACCGTCCTGAACAGTAGCAGCAAAAGCAGTCCTGTACTAACTACCGAGGATAGATGGAAGAACAAATATGACGAAACGGAGACGAAGCGAAAGAGCCTGTTGATTCAGTCTCAAAAACGTGAGTCCTTTATAGCCACCCACCTCCCTCCTCGGAAAAATCTGTTTTATTAGACGGCCCCATCGATTTTTGATACTTGAATAATCACGATGACTCAAGTAAAACGCATGATATGTAAATTAATGATAACATCATTTTAAAGGTCGTATGTTTAAAAAAAATATATAACATCATCTAGGAGCTTATAAAATTAAAATATATCACATCATATTAATATAATATATATTTAATATATCAACTATAAGAATATCGATATGAGATGCTTTCAAAAATGTCATATTTTAGTTGTATAATGCGTATTTCGTCTACATAAATTGCAATGGAAGTATATTATTGTATAATAGCTATCTGCGTGAACGCATGTTTTAGTTGATTTTCTATATAATTTCCTAATATTATTAACGACCAACAATTGTGATGATATGCAACCACCCATGATATGTTTAAAATTCGTAATGGGTACATATTTGAAAATGCTAAAATTGCCTATACTAAACTCCTTAATAAAAACGCCGGTTGCATACCATATAAAATCGTACGTAGGTTATTATTATTTTTTGTAATTACGCGTTCAGATCGTTCGAAACATAAACTTGGTAATTGAAATAAATCGATATCGGTTCGACATTGACGGTTGCTTATTGTTTAGTGTTGAGGGAAAAGTCGGACATGGAACGTCAAGTGGCGAAGCTGCGCACCAATCTCGAACTGTCCAATAAAGACTTATCGGAAAGGACCTTGCAACTCTCTCAGCTGAGGAGTCGTACGTATACAATATATTATAGTTTAATATCGAGTGTTCGTTTCTTGTCAGTAAAATATAATTCAATCATATTATTTTATGCGTGTGTATAATATATAGTTTCGGAAGCGATGTACAAGGAATATGATCAATTAAAACAACAATACGAACTCGAGACAACTACGTTGCAAAAGGCGATGGAACGAGCTTCGCAGGTAAATAATACAATTAAACGTTAATCAACCGCACCGCAACTGTTTCAATTAGATTTTAATTGATACACTCCTGTCTCGATATATTATAGTGGTACAAACAAAATCGTGAGCTGAAAAGAAGGAGCTCGGCTTTAATGCAAAAAGTAATGTCAGTGGCGCCGTCCACGTTGGAAGACTTGGCAGATGACACGGACGGTAATGACAACGATATGGACAACAACGACACCGAAATGGAAGAGCTGCGGAAAACTGTCAAAGGTAAAGGTTTATTAATTGTTCGGTATAACAACATAACATAATATTTAATGTGTGCGATTTGTGTGTGTAGAGCTCACTCAAGAAGTTTCGAGGCTACAAGCAGAATTAAATAAAATTAAACTACAAGAGTTTGAAGCCCAGGAGCAGACTGTAGACTTGACTTCTGAACTGGAGGAAGAGCGTAGGGGACGAAAACGGGCTGAACAAGAACTTAAAGTAACTATAATAATATTGCGTTAAACCGTAAAATATAATGTTCTGCTGCTTAAATTTATATTTCAGTTGCACACATAAAGTCGGCGTTTTACTTAAACTCTCTCTTTATATTTTAATTGCTGCAGTAGTTTTTCAAAAAATTATGATCACTTAACTATTTTTGTTGTCTACTCTTATAGGAATTAAAAATGAAACACGACAGTTTGGAAACAGTCAGTCGTAAAGTAGTCGAAGAGACAACCGTGTTACACCAACAATATAAAAGAGAAAAAGAAGAAGGCGTAAAGATACGAAGTGATGCTAACAAAGTCAGTCGGCTTAAAAATAATAAATCGTAGACGTCTTGTTTTAATCAATTGGTTTTCAGGTGAAATCCGAGAGGGACGTGCTAGCCAGACAAAGTCAACTGTTGATGATGGATGCTGCTTCGGACGAAAAAATTATGAAACTGTTGTTCGAGGTGGAACAATTGCAAAGAACATTAAGCCAAGAGAGGCAAGAGCATATGGAACAGCTAAAAGATTTACACGTGAGTATTATACAATTGTAATAAGATATTTCGTTTTATTACCTAATTATTGTATTTTCTATAAAATATTATGGTTTTTGTAGGAAAAATTGGAATCTCAAAGCGAATCCGAACAAATCGAACTGTACGAAGAGAAGTTAAAGTTAATCGAAGCGGAATTACTATGTTCTCAGCAAAGAGCTGACATTGCTGAATCTCAGGGTACATATTGTATATTTATTTATTTATTATTATTTATTACCCACTATTTATATAACAACTCTTCACAAGTAAAATTCTTAATCATAATACTATAATAATAAAAACAATCGTGGTATTAAAATTATTTCAATATAATAATTAGTAAAATAATATATATTCTATTCTACACAGTTTTGTGATTATCCTCGAATCTAGCTATTGTACTCATTTTATAGCTATGAGTCGATTTATAGGCTAATTTTCTTTTTAAAATTCATCACACCTAGATTGTTTGTATTATGTTTGTCTATCACACGTGTGGACAGTACATAAAAACAAATGTTTTTAGCAATAGCTAGGTGATTTCAAAGTTAATGATTACGACATTAATAAAAATTAATGTCAAAATTATTTTGGAGGCATATAATATTGAAGCTTTTTTTCCAAATAATATTATTTTCTATAGCTTAAACTTAAAGCAAAATAAATAATAAATAATATATCTTAAGACAACGAAGATGTGCTACGAATAAAATTGGAAAGAACAATTCTTTTTCTTCAATTTATATGATCGGTGATTCACTTAAATCACTTACCATTAAAATTTACGACAGACCTTTGTGGGAAATTGTTTTTGCCACGTCCCACGAGATAAAAATAATAAACCAAGATGATGTGATGTTCTCTCAGTGTTATAATCGAAAACCCAACTATTCTACACGAAACGGATAAATTACCATAAAGTAAAAAAAAAAATATACATTCTACCTACGTTTTCAGTTGAAGAACTCGGGAAACAACTTCGAGAAACCAAAACCGTAGTCGCGCCGCCCCAATGCGGACCTCCACCTCCACCACCTCCGCCAGCACCACCAGCACCACCACCACCCCCTCCACCGATGGCGTTGGCGGGGGCGAGCGGAGGCATCAAGCTGAAAACGGTTAGCTCGCTGAACCATAACTCCAACGCAATTGAAGATTTAGGGAATTACTTGGGACTGCCAATGGCTTCTCCCAAGGGCCCTCAAGTACAGAACGGTAAGTAACCTGTGAACACTTTTGCTATATATGCCTAACGCAGTCGTGCGGGGGTCGTAAACATCGGGAAACAAAATACAGTTATATTTATAGATATCGAAAAAAAAATAGTTAATACTAAAATATATTTTAACGATCGATCGTGATTATAACGCTGTTATTATAACCATTGCAGGTGCCATTGACGCGATAATCAACCAGATCAAAGGAGGTCGTTTCAGTCTGAAAGCCACGGACAAGGAGGTAAGATCTCGATCCGTTATAAAATCAATATATATCTAATGACGTATTCGTATTTCGGAATATTTTACATTGTTTGGTTTTGTCCGTTTCAGAAACAGACTCCGGTCAAAAAACAAGAACCGCAACCTGTTGTCAACGAGATGATGAACGTTCTGGGCACTTTGCGCCGGAATCCCAAACGGAGGGCCAGTTTCAAAACGGCGCCTGCCGACGTGGCGCTATAGTACCTTCCTAATAATAATGATAAAAATATATTTACAGTCCTTAATCACTGTCTGCGTGTCTCGCTCGAAAAAATTATTATTATTACTATAGTTAATATTATATATATATATTTTTATTTTTTGTTCCTCTGTTGTCGGTGTGTTTTGTGTGCGCGAGTGGTGTACTCGACGTAGACATTTCACTACTCATTAAAAGAAAACTTTTTCATTTCATTGTACATAAGAATATAGTATAATATAAAAAAAAAATTATTTGTAACGACTCTTTAGCGTAAATATAATATTATAATATAATTTAATGGTCGTGAACGACGGGACATCTGTGATTTTTACATTTCTATTGAATTTCTCAGTAAATATTTAATATTGTGCTTAGTCTAAGGAAATTCGTTTTTAAGAATTTAATATTATTACTATTTATTAAGAACCGTGATCGTTTCTGTCTAACTGTAAGTGTGAAAGTTAATGATATTATAGGTAAGAAGTTATTATTTTTAAATTTTTATTTTGTAATATTTTACCACCAAAACCATTTTTATTTATCATTTTTTTTTTTTATATATTACAAGTGGTTTTTTTCAATCATTTGAAGATTGCGTTTTATTTAAAAAATATTAGTTAAATTTTAAGTACTTGTACGTTACTGTTTTGTCGTAATAGTTTAATAGCCAATAACTTGTTACATGTTATAAGATTCTAATATAGGTAATTATTTTTGAGCAGAGTTATTTTTATTATTCAAATCATATAATATTTATGTATAGAAAAGTATATATTATAATAATAAAATATTGTATTAAATATTTTGATAGAACACTAACTTAAAAATGTAAACTATATAAATTAAAAGTCAGTTGTATTTTTTAAAAATTTTTTACATAGTTCATAATGTTAGTAAGATTATTACTTACTACTTATTAGTAATTAGTTTATATTCTAATAAACTGTGAAATTCACAATTTAATGTACGTAATATTAGACAAATTACTGTTATGTATTGCAATGGAAATTCTATGGTTAACATAATAGTATAATTGTAACTATATTGTACCTACTTGTGGAGATACGATGTCTGACATGGTCCATATCTTAATTTTTAAATGAAGCATTCACCACATCAATAACAAAGCTCAAAGCATTCTTAAAATCTTAATCTTAAGGGTATTGTGCAAATGGACGGTTTTTACTTTTTAAGCAGTTCAAAATGGACTTTTTTCAAATTGCATGCTTATGGGTCTTGTAAATGTGTGCCCAAATGTCAATCCTACTGACCGTACCTAATAAAGTGATAAGCAGGGCTCGTAAGTTCATGCATCTGCATGTTTTTTTTTTCCACACAGGAAAACATGCTAACTGAGATACAAATCCGTTTCATAACAATAGTAATAATAATATGAAGTTTGATAGTGCATGTTTTTGCATGTTTTGGGTGTAAAGTCATATTTGGCATATAGTTGATTTTTTACAGTCGTTAGTGCATATTATTTCATAAAAATATTTTTTAGACAAATATTTGAAAGGTTTCTTCCGATTTTTGATATCTTGTTCCAATCGTCCAATATCGCATGGTAAATTACAACGGTTTTTTAAATTTTTTATTGAGTAATTATTTATCTAATTAATAAAAATATCGAAAATCAGGCTTCTTACGATTGTAAAAAAAAGTTCTACTTTACAATTTTTATAATAGGTATTTTTTCTGTAAACCACTTCAATAAGCCGTATTACTTGAATTACGAAACCATGGTTTTATGCCATATTTTGTCTACTAATGCGCCCTCTTGTTGGAAAACATAAAAAAAACACTTATAAAATATATATTACTAAATTATCTCAAAATGAAAAACCTAATATTTCATTCCAAATGTTTTCATTGTTGGTGCTGAATAAGGGTATACACAAATTAGACAAAATTGACTACCTAATTAAAATTTATAAGGATGACAAAGCTATTTGAACTTCACAAGTATTAATTTAATTTTTAATTTTATTAATTTTCACTGTTAAATATATAAAAATTAAAAGGAATAAAATACTTTTAAAATGTATGGATTTATTCTTATTATTTTAAAATTTGGTCATGTTTTTTTTACATAATGCATATTTTGAGTGCATAATTTAAAAATGTTAATGCATATAAATGCATATTTTTGAACTTTTAAGGGCATATTTTAATGCATATTTTGACAATTTTTAGTGCATGAATGCATGCTTATTTATACATTTTTTAGTGCATGAAGTTACGAGCCCTGGTGATAAGACTTCTGAATATTTGAATTCGAAAATAATATCTCTACGAATTGCGATTGATCAGGCCACGTTATAAGATATTTAATGAAAGTTGCAAATAATCAAAATTTAAACAAAATGTCTACCTATGAGTTATGACTTATGAGTACCTGGAATTGAGAAACAAAATTTTTAAAAGCTGCCTTATCGATCCCAAGTATACATATTGTAAAAAAATTCAAATTAGGTTTCAAAAGTCGCGTTATCAGGTCCGTCGACAGTCGGTTTGATTGACAAAAGATTGGTACCTAAATTTTGGTATAAATTAGATAAAAAAAAAATTATTTATAATATTAAAGATAAATATATAAAAGATAACATATTAAATTAATTATACAATAAAGAGAAATAAAGATAAAATATAAAAGATTATAATAATAAGTAGGTATTAAGATATTAAGTGATGGAGAAAAAAAATCTAAATTATTTACTGAATTTCCACAAGACAATAAAATATTTATAGGTGTATAAGACATCTGTCGGGTGGTACTACTGAGTACCTTCCCTCTCTGTTATATCAACGCTTACGCTATTCTCCATCTAAAAAAAAACCTTTAGGTATAAAATGTTTGTATAGATTGTAATTATTCTTTTAATAAAAAAAAAAAAAAAAAAAAGGTGTATAAGACATATAATTTTGAGTGTAGGGTTTTATATAAAATAATTCTTTATTTCGAGTGTTAGGATTGTTTGTTTTTAAAAATGATGTTGCTTAGGAGGGAAGAATCATCTATTTTATTATTAAGGAGTTTGAATAAGAAGGTTATATAAAATTGTTTTTTTCCATCCTTTAGTGTTTTTAAATTTAAAAAGTTTAAAATATTTTCATATTCAGATTGTATTGTTATGCATGTTTTGTTCTTAATACAAATTCATATTTTAAATTATTAATTACCATGTGTTATGATATCTATTGGTAACAAACATAACTTAAATTGTTTTGTATTGTTTTACTTCAACATAATGTGTACATAAAATACTTATTAAAATGGTTATTTATAGGTCATTTTAAATTGAAAATTGAAAATCGACTTCCTAAGAAACCTAGATATTTTATCAATGAATTCAAGCATGTATGATAAATTTAAATCGGAAATTCCGAAGTGTGTGTAATTTACCACCGCTTATCGGTCTAAGACGTATGAAACATACGTGGGTTGCAGCCCCCTTAAGTAGTGTAAGTATTGCTGACTAGTTAGTAGTTCCAAGTTTGTGTATTTTTATATTTTGATATGGCCAATAATGAGGAGGAACTAAGCTAAGGCCTAAAGGTATTATAGCCTCTCATAGGCACGCAACTGCTGTTGTACAACAACAATAGAATAAAATATTATCGACCACCGAGGCTCTTAAGAATTGTTCATTTTGCCCAAAGTTGTATTACCTACGCTGATGTATTTATACAAATGTTTCAAAGAAAATATGTGTGGAACCTGATCATATATTATATATTATATTGTGTTATGACATAATGCCCATTGAACTGTGTACACAGAAAAATGCGTCTGTTGTGTACAGTTCTTTTGAATAAAATATTCATTATTCGGTTGGATCGCAACAGGTATCGACGGTCGTCAATTGCAATCTGCATTGTTTGAATCCTAAAAAATGATGTCCGGAATGAGTATACTATAGTCTTTGTCCTCACACTGATGACGTGTATCAACCATTCATACCTTATTGTCACAATTGGTTTGTATAATACTATTATAATATGATATCCTGATGATGACCGATTCTGGATTCAATACATTTTAAATTACATTTTCTTGCCGTCAAATCACACAAATTTATACATAATCTATGGATACCTATAAATAATATAGATACTTATTAATTGTTATACTTTAAACAGATTACATATTTATTATATTACACATTTACACACGTTGTAATTATACATCTAATCTACCTACTTATTATTCTATATAATTGTGTTAGGTTTTTTTTTAAAATATAAAATCGTATTTATTATTAGTTATTGGTTATATTACGTCTTATACAATATGATATACACTATGAAACATATAATAATTAATAACTTTTAATCATATCGTTATGCATATTATGATGGGGGATGAGGGATTACTGATAATTTATCATTACATATTTAACGGTTAAATAATATTTTATTCAATTGTTTCAAACGTAGGTATCTAATTTATAATATATTATGCTACCATATAATTTTACACATTGTTTTTTATACATTTATGAATTTTGAATCTCATACAGTTAAAATAAGATCCAAGAAATTTTTAGTTTTTAAATCAACTCTGCGATTTTCAAATATCTTCCACCATTGACTTGAAAAAAATTTAGCGGATATCACATAGTCGTGTAAAGCTCATATTTTTTGATTATTTTAATGAGGTCTCCTAAGTCGCTCCGTTCAGATTCTAAAATAATAGCCATCTATTGTTTGACTAATTCTTGAAGTTAAAGTATTATTTTCGCTTCTCATGAACAACACTGCGTGTAATATAATGTTTGGCTTGATTTCTTATTCGATTTAATAGCTTAATATTGATTATAATAAAATATACCTATCTAGCTAATTTTATATTTTATTATTATATATTTTTAGAATTAACAAATTTTACCGATGAAACCCGTATTTTAAAGAGACTTGGTTTACGTAATAATAACATACTTTTATTACAATATTATTATATAATAAATAACTCACATTAAACGACTTTTAAATAAAA